CCTCAACGCCACAGACTACACGCCTATGTAGTCTGATCGACAAAACCATTCGACTAGCCCTACGTGCCACGTTACCAGTCTGGAAGACCTCGCCTAATGTCTTTCCTCATAGGGAAGGGGGTATCCCACCGGCAAAGATTCTCTTCGAAGGAATTCGACTCCATCTAGCAGCCAGGATCCAGTCGCTCGATGACCGACACCCTCTCTGGAACCGCGCAAGCGAGTGCCCTAACGTTGGCTCGCAGAAGTACAAGCTAAGGAAGATAGTCAGGCGCCAACCAGAAACCCAGATGTCGCGCCTACAGCGTGCTTTTAGACATCTCCCGGAGTCATCCGAAGAGGCAGAAGGGCTGGTAGGCCCAGTGTACACATCAAGTCTTGGAACGAAAGAAGAGGGAGTCAAAGCACACTACAACTGGGCTAGCACGATCTCTCCCTCTGACATATGCGCCTACTCTGATGGGTCATCTGAAGGCCATGGACGACCCTCGTGGGGAAATGTCCTCCAACGCGGAGGAGAAACATTCGCACAAAGTCACGGTCGTCTACATGGCGGTGAAATTTATGACGCAGAAAGAGCAGGAGCAGTAGTAGCACTTCGGGAAGCTATGCGCGCTCGAAAGAACAGTGAGAGAATCTTCGTTCTTCTTGACAATCAGGCAGCTGTACTTGCGCTTCGGACGGGGAAGTTATCATCGTCGCTACAGATAACCCGCGTCTTTCACAAGTTCGCTTCAGAAGCGAACGTGACAGTGAGGTGGGTGCCTGGACACTCTAATATTAGTGGCAACGAAGAAGCGGACGTAGAAGCCCGAGCCGGTCTTCAGCTGCTGCCAGATAGACAGATGCAGCCAGTGCAGACAACGCAGGCATACTTACGCCGTCTGATGCACAATCGCCGACAGAAACTAGTGGAAGACTGGTGGAATAAGTCGGGTCCGGACAGATATCGAGACCTGGACTTACAGATGCGACGTCTGAAACCACCAGAACTAGGTCTTTCTCGACGATTACTCCATAAGCTCCTGGCAGTAAGATCAGGACATGGAGACTTTGCGGATTATCACCGCCGCCTGAACCACGAAGACGCGAAACTGGAATGCGCCTGTGGACAAAGGACAACGCCAACCCATTTTGTCCGATGCAGGAAGAATGCTGCTACAATGCGCAGGTTGAGAAGATCCATGACCGTGGAGGACTATACCAACCAACTCCTTGGACCAGAGGGTCTCGAGAAGTTCATAGAATTTGCAAGGAATACCGGCTGCTTCGGGAGCATGAATTCAGACCCGCCCTCAGCTACATGCGAGGGCCGAAGTGATTATTTTGTCAGGACGAGAAAAATGACTGGGGGGGGCATAGGATGAGAAATACTAGTACCGCTCCTACATGTTAATTTGCTTTATTTCAGTTGGTTTTGTTTGCTATTTCTTTTAGTTTTTGGTTGTTTGTAATCAGAGTCACACAGTGACAGTGTGGTGGGAACGAGTAGGGCATAGCTATTTAGGATAATCCTTACCGAGCCCACCAGTCCCGTGCCATAGGGCGCTGGGCTGGTGCCTGGGACCTCAAAATAAATCAATTAACCAAGGCTAACAAGTCCGATTAGAGCACAAACTTAAGGAAATAATAATTCAAAAATCTTTAGAGGCCTAGCATGCTAATGTCTGCTTTCTAAGGTTGTGTATTCAGAGTAAAACATTGCAAATTATTGCCGGGTAAATAATATGGTTCAAATGACTCAAAACCAAGGAAAGTATCATGGAAATAATGAGCCCTCGTTCAAGTCACCACAGAAGTGATACTAAGTAGAGGTTTTGTAGTCACACGCGTGTCAACACAGTGGCCTACTGTTGGGATATTGCGAAAGTATAGTCACGAGAGTAAGATGATGCGGATGGTAGCATACGATACGTGGAGAATGTATAATGTGGCGCCGTAAGTGTGGAGTGATAAAGATTTGTTATGTACTAAGGGTGTGAACACCTTTCATCTGACCAACTGGCTGACTAAGCAGTATTTCTTGACACTCACTTAAGAGTCCAGATTACTCTAACTTCTTATCAGATCGAAGCCAGTTTTCCTGCAATTAATCAGTGAGTGGCTACATAGGACGTTAATCTATGCGAGAGACGGCTTGAACTCTCTATCTAAGCCTGCTCAAGTATCCAGACAGCCCATGGTGCGTAGTTTATGTCGGCTGAAGCCGAATCGTAGTGCCCCAGACGTCCTCCCATAAGGCTAAAGGGATGTATTGTACACCGCCAATTGAATAGCAGGAATCCGAAGGGTGAAATTGGCACATCAGCGAGACCGGATGAAGGCGGATACAGAGGGAGGAAACTAGAGAAGTGCCACGGAGTTTTGATCTCTGGCGACACCGATGACAATTTAGTGTTGCCTTTGGCCGTCTGATGTGGCTGCATGTCATGCTCAAGTCCTGTCGGGTATCTTTCTTAGTCTATGTCGTGGGGCTACACACTTGCGCTGGGACAACCAACATTATCCATGGCTGGATGGTGCAGCGGTACATCTACTGGGTTGGGTTGGTTTGCTCATTAACGTGCTAGGTAAAGTGATTCCAGTTGCACTCCTACTGGAGCTTAAGCACGGGAGGGGCCGGGTTGAATCAGGTTAACTACCATTAAGTACGTCTACCTCGTCCCACCTGAATGACCGGATCACCTCAGACTACACCCATGTGTTGAATCATGTCAAGCCCAACCGTTCAGAGAACCCGCTTTTGGCGCGCCGAAGCGCAAATTCCTACTCAGTCTCGGCCACCACGCGCCCGAGCCCTTGACACCTTCACAATCTGTAGCTCTTCTCTTTCATTCAGTCCCAGCCTTTCTTCACCTCATCCAGGGGTCGTTTTCTTCATTGGAGGCCTCATCCAGTCGCCCACTATGGCCTCCTCAGTTTGTATTCCCTTTTGTTCCTTCATGTATGGTACATCAACTGGGACGGTCTCGAATGTAAAGTCTAGATGGCTTGCCGGTTATCTCACTTGATACGAGAGATGGCTAGTTCGAATCCAGAAAAGGTCAACCACATTTCTCGCCGTGCTCGTGTGCATGGATGTCGAAGGCGTGCCAGAACAACCAAAGGCTTTGAGGCATCCCCACGAGGGGGACCCACAGGAGAGTAGACTCTTAGCATGAGCAAATAAACCTTTCAATGGTATTTCCTAATGGGATGCAGAGGATGAGTGTTTGGAAGTCAAAAGAGTCATTAAAAAAATACACACAAACATCATCTTTTATCAGAGCTAGAAATCGAAATACGCATCACATTATCTGAATAAACCCCCCATTGAGCAGAGTCTAGATCTCCCGAGTGCGCTACGGAGTGAGAGTGACTATATACGCACCGGGCCTTGAGTCTGCCATATTTATGATGTCCGAGCACAACACTGATGCGGAAAACCCGTACCACCATGTTGGTCGTGTTGCAAGAGAGAGGACCTAGTGAGACAGCGCCGGCAGGTCTGGGTGTTTCTCCGACTCGCAAAGGCAAATCATCAGTTGGTTCGGGCCAAGGCGTGTGGCTTTGTCCCCTCCTACATTAACCACTACGCTCGTACTGTGCTTGCCTAAGGGTTATATGGAAAGGGCGCATAGTGGCCGTTCAGACTGTTGAAGCTTTATCGTTGGGTGAGTGAGATGTGATGGAGGTTCATGGGTCACGATGTATGAGATAACTGGGATGTGAATGTTTGAGTTCCTTACTATTGTCAATGTACTAGTTGGCGTTGCTTTTCTCCATCTGCAAGTGGGCCAAATCGCTTAGGTTTGGCTAGCGGCTTTCGCCATTCTGTTCCTTCTCCCCCGCGTGGCATCACGTGCTAGGCAACTACTGCTCACCATGAAGTCCGAGGATGAAAAGCGTTAGATCACAACAGATACCTTGAGAGATGCGCCGAAGATCTTTGGCATGATGCGCCGACCAAAGTTTCTTTGAGGAATACTTCGCCGTGCTTCATCGTCTGTCAGGTCTCGCATAGACGCGACGCTCCGGCTGGAGTAGATGCGCAAGCTGTGGAGACGCTATCTATCAGGGCGAGAGAACTCATGGCCCCGGTTTCAGACGGTCTTTCGTTCAAAGCTCTCCTAGCTCGGGTCAAATCCGAGGAGCTGGCCCTTGATCTCACCTTTTCCGCGAATCATAGATCCAACAGCCCTACCCGCCCGAACTAGCATCTCAAATACTAGCGGAAGAAACCAACTCACTTCAATCTCCAAATTCGCTGGAAGTACAATCTGTGCAATACCATATATATATAGAGATTGCCTTGCTGAACCTCTGCCGTCTCGGGGCCAAAAGACGTTTTGACCTCGTACAATCATCCTACACAACTATGTGGAGAATAACTGGGCGTTTCCCGTCGCTAACTCGTCTTGGCATGTAGCATAGCGAATCCCTGCATCTACCGGACCACACGCATGGTTTGTTTTCTCTTGCAGCTCCAATGCACATGCCTTGTCTCCAGCCCATAGATGGCTTGAGGTTATGAAAAAGAATATGAGCCAAAATGATAGGGTACAATCCCTGCAACTATGAATTTGATTGGGTTGGTCTTCAAGAGGGCCCATGTCTAGTTTGTCCACTAGTTATGCAAGCAGGGCTACTGACCAATGATATTCTGTGAAAGTCAAATCAATGGGGATGGCTTTCAACTTAAAAAGAAAGGCATATGGGTCCTCATTAAAAAATTAAAAAAATCAATTGATATTATCTAAAAGTACATATCAATTTCAATCATAATTGCACTGTTTAACAAGAGTATATATCGAAGCCTCCAGTATGGCTCGCAAGTAAATGAAAGCATACCACAGTGCGGACTCCTTACAACGATGTGATTCCGTGACGCTATTTTGTATGTTTTTAGTAAAGAACTTGATCACGTGATACTACGTACAACACATTCAATTATTTAGTCCGCTTCATGAGATCCCCGCACCTCCTCCCACATCAAACGTGACATCGTTCCGTATCATATATTATTTAAACAAGCTATCTAATATCCCTTGCCTTCTACGGAGCTCTGCCTGCTGCTGGAGGCTTCTTCCCATGCGCACGAGTGTTGTGAGCTCCATGGAGTTGGCATCTAGCTCATGCTCCTTCAAGCTGAGCAGGTGCTTGAGGCCATTTAGTGCTTGATTAAAAGCAGCGGGCGGCTCAGCTGCCTCCTCATCCTCGTACTCCTCCTGCTGTGGCATAGAATATGCAGCAATGATATCCATAAGCGTGACCTCCTCCACCACCTCAATATTCTCGTGGACGTGACTGTAATCTTAGACGCCATTTAAGAATATATTTGCATAAGGTGGTTCTAGACTTCTACCAGGCCTAATAGGTCGTGCGGGGAAATGCATGGCGTACTTAGGATTAAACTAAGAAACTGTTATTTATGCCTTGAATATTGGGCATAAGACTGAATATAATCAGGCTTCAGCCAATGACAGTGGTTACATCATATGATAGTTATTCGAGTGATGCTTTTAATTGTGCTATTTGAGTCACAGACTATTCAGCACATTTGGCTCCTTCCTGATCCAAGCCACACGTTGTACAGTGCTCATTGTGTCGGTAAAAGGATGATATTTGGGCGGTATGAATTCTTGAATCTAATTGCGGTATTCAGGTTGTTGTTGTTGTTGTTAGGACACTGACAGGGATCTGATTTAGCTCATTAGCGAGGCGCTTGGAGTAGAGGAGGAAAGGGGAAAGGAAGGAAGAAGAGACAACGTTTGATGTTTTCGAGATACCAGTTAATTGACTTTATCCACCGAATTCGTGACGGCACCCAATTTGCATTACTTCGTGTTTTACCAACACATTGCCTCTCCTGTTACTCCAATGATCATTGATATATTGCCCGTGATGAATAGCTATTCAGCTCAGTATTTACCCATAGAATCCAGCCACCTTTTCCACGTAACTTTCTACCCAAAAAAAATAAAATGGTAGCAATGGAAACTGCGTGCGCGGGAAAAAGTCTCAAAAAACCTGCAGCCCCAGCCAGGCGAGGCCTAGACACCGGGACCACATGAGGTGCGCATATTCATCTATATCTCCCTTCTTTGTAACGGTAGTGGCCGACTTGATCCAATCCACCATCTCCGTATCGGGTTCTGGGTACGCACCGGAGAGTCATCGGATGGCTTTTCCTTCATGATCAAGGGTTGGTAATGAGTAGGGCTCCGACCCTACCATCTGATCTGATCGTGGTTAGCTTCATGATAATGGTGATAGGGGAATGTGTTGAGAGATGAAGGCGATAAAGACCGTGCAAGAGATTAGGAATCCTCATGGAAGTGAGGACTTTTTTACTCATTCTCGGCTCTGCAGACTCTATAGCGAGAGCTTGAAGCTCGTAGGAGACTTCACCGATAGAGGATGAGATATTCTCCTACTTCGCAGTGGTCCTTACACACGAAAACCGAGGCATGATGGCTCTTCTTTTAAATTGAGTCGCGTATTCGGAAATTTAGATCTGATATTGGATCGGAGCTAGCAAGCCACATACACATTCCATATCTGATGTGAAACATTGCACATGCCTAACAAAACCAACTTGGTTTATTAGACATGTTCGACTGTGTGCCTAACCTCACCTAACCATTTCTCACAGGTGATCAAGTCATTTAATTGCATACAAGTGGCCATAATTGGCAAGTAATGTGGCAATAGTCTAGGAAGAAGTGAAGTATAAAGAAAACATAAGGGAAACGCATGTTCAGCGTCACGAGAGGCACATAATCAGATTGTATAGTAATTATATAACAGTAAAGTTAATAGTATGGTTTGAACGTCGAATAGATGTTAACACCGATTGGTGATAGTAGAAAGGTTAAAAAGGTAAAGCAAAGGCAAGATAGAAACCCGAACCAAAGGTATCCACGGAATCTGTACCAATCAATCGCTTAAACGCCCTACACCAAAGAGAGCCCCAAGGACATCTTTGTAACTTGTGATAAACGTGCCCAGCTAAGGTTAAACTCGCTATATTCAACCTCTCCATCAATTCTAATAGAACTGATCTAGCCAATCGTGCACAGTGGCAAATTGATCAACTGCACCGATGTGTAAAATATTGCAATGTCCAATGTTCTCAGGGGTGTCATAGTCGTAGTTAGCAACTGCTGGATACAAGTCTTGTGTCTGAGCAATAATACTATCCTCTCCGGTTCCGCAGTCACCTTGTCCGTTTAGTGTGCCTTGTCCGAAACTATCTGGTGAGCAGAAGATGGCATCATTTTGACCTGTGAGAACAAATACTCGGCCACGATAGTTTGAAGCAACCTGTGTGCTTTCGTAGCCAGTTAGAAACTCACCAGCAGTAACGGTGCCGCGGAGGCGATAGTTGAGCTCTCTTAGTTCGGGGTCGACTGTGTCGTTAACGAAAAAGAGACCATTTGCCCCATCCTCGTTTGATGCAGCGAAGTAAGTTAAGGCCTGTCCGGCCCATCTTTCTGGGTAAGCAATGGTTGCAGGTAAGAAGGCACCGGCAATCACTGTTGGAAGTAGAGAGGGTCTAATTTTCTTGGAAAAGCCGGTGAGCACGTAGGAGTCGACGGATGTGGGGTATTTGACAGCGTGTAAATTGCCGATAAGGGAGCCGTACCAATGACCGACATAAATAATCTTGCTGAATGATCGGCCGCCGATGGACCCTTTTTTTAAGGATTTTATAAGAGATTCAGTGACCTCAATATGGGTATTCATCTGGACCTCGGCCAGCCCGTTGGGACGATCTGACTCACCGTTGCCTAGGCGATCAATTGACAACGTGGGGTAGCCCTGCTTGGAAGCATATGCGATCCATGAGTAATCATCGCCTCCAAAGTTGAAGCCGGGCGCGCCCAGCCCAGACCAGTAGTCTCTAGTATATGTGATACCGTGAACAAGAAGTTGGATTGTATCGGCACGCTCTGAGTTTTGAACTTCAGGCTCGCAGTATCGTGCACGTATGTTGTAGTTTCCATTGATATTAACGTTAAGAATTAGGCCAAGAACTCCTGATAAGATGTTTTGCATAGCGCCGCGTAAGCCATCTTGAGAGTTGATGCCTGAGTCTAGTAGGGCATTAGTTGAACGGACAGATACTGGAACTGTTATTTCGCTGCATGTCGGCCCTCGTGGGAGAAGAACAAGGCTGTGGGCAATAGAGAAGGATCCGAGGAGGAGTATGGATAAGCGCATTGTTCTGGAGTGATTGAAGTCAGGATTGTATGATGAGAATGAGTAATTGAAGAGCGGATGCTGCAACAACTTTATATTCCGCTGTGATGCATGAGCGGATTCACCACGTAGCTCACAAATTTTTCAAGGCAGGGTGAAGGGGTAGAACACGGGTCTAGCCTAATTAGAGGAAGCTGAACGGGTAGGTCAGGCCTCACTTGCAGATGATCATCGCCCTTTACTCTGACCTGCCGCTTTCGGACAATACCTAGAAGCATAACATCCGTTAACAGGGGTAAAAGTTGTCTTCTGGGGCTATGTCCGAGAAAATGGCGGAGCTGAGTTATTATTAGCCCATTGAGATGTTGTTGTGGATGACTAAGCATTCAGTCAAATGATCCGGGCGACTGACACCGAGAATGATAATGACGATCTACTCTTTCTATCATATACACATTCTGTATGTCTCTACTCATTTACTTTCACTTTTAGTCAACTCTCCACCACGTTCGTCTATGCCTTCTGTCATAGATCACCTAATACCAGGGATAAGGGTCGGTAGCCTGGGTATACATGGCTGCATGAACTATGATTGAGCCAATCACTCTTTCCCAGAGGAATTATTAGCTCTAGTCTCTTGCATACCTATCCGGGCTTTCAGCTCTGCTCCAGTGTCTAGCTTTCCGCTCAGCTAGACTGCCACGTATGAAGGTGCAGCCGATAGCCCAATTCCGACTATTGTAGAGCTAGGCAATTGCGAGCTGGCTGCCCACGTTTTTCACGGACATACCATGATGGAAATAGCTTAAGTGAAGGAAGAACGGATGTCTAGCTCAATTCTTGCGAGCCATCAAACTATCAACACAACCGATTTCACAGGTATTCGCAACTGCACAGCCTTGAGATGTGACGGCATGGCGTTAAGGCCCTTTGCACAAAGATGCCCCCAAAAATTTAACCTATCTCATTGTTGGCCAAAGCTATAGAGCTTAACGACAGCCCACAGCCCAGAGAAATCATTGTGGCTGGGCTGGGTTACATTGAGACAATGTATTGAGGCTTGACAACTACATTTTCACATTATTGTTGACAGACCTCCAACCTATTTTATGGCGCGTATGGCATTATTCCTCAGCCCCCTTGGCCTGGAGACGACATTTTTAAGACAAATGACTCGACGGCTTCATGGTGCACGGAACTTGCCAAGAGACGGAAGGCTCAACAATATTGCTCACGGACGAGACAAGGATGTGCGTTGTGATTTAACGTGCGGCGCGACGGACAAGCCCTACATGAAGAGCATGGGCAACCAGACAAATTTGACCACACGCCTACAGGGTATGTGTGTATGACGAATTCTGATACTTTACCATAACAACATCAGCGACTGAGATTCACAATCGGAACGGAAGTGAACATATAATGGAATAGCCCGTCTCCGTAGCAAGTCAATGATCTGCTTACAGCATCAATTCTCGCATTGCTGTACACTTTGAAATACGGACAGGCTGCGGAAAGTCACCTTCGCTGAAGATGAGTAGACATTAGACTGTTATCATACTTAGCTTAGCAATCGGTTATTATTTTCTGCTATGAGGACGGGTTAGGGACGATCTCCATTTGCCGACTTGGCGTCTCTTAGTAAAACTAATTTTTCCCCATGCCAACGCTTCAGTCAGTGCACTCTTAAAGTCTCGTTCCCCAGAAGGGCTCAACGTGATGGGGCACGGATCTAGTAGGGCTTGTTTACAGGGAAGGACGAGCTTAGACCGAGAATAAGGAAAGGCTGGCTAAGCTCCAGCATGCGCCAAGTGCAATGGCTATCCTGAAGCTGGTGGCGGCATTCGTACTCGCGGTGTGGCTTATCACTGACTGTCAGAGCCTGGAGTCCTATCCTAGAGAATCTAAATTAGGGTTGGTGGCGATATCTTTGATCAGCTAGGACAGTGAGATATCTAATTGCTGCTAGAATATCTTAATCTACTCGATAACGGAGTGCTTGTGTTCCAGACTTGGAAAGTTCCTTTGCTGACACGAATTCAACGACTTACATCACCTTAACATTGGGAAATTTCATCGCAAGTACTTAAATAGGACAGGGAGTTTGTCCTGGAGCACCGATTTTATCCATCAGACATCACTCTCTGTGATTGCCATCTAGACACTGAATGGCTAGTTACTAGGAATAAGGGAGCCAGGAGTGCTAGCTGAGTAGGCTCCACGATATATTGAGGTATCTAGGACACCTGAATTTATCTGCTACGAGATCAACGAGAAATTCCACATCACTACGGATGATCCTCTACATGATTGGGAACAGAAACAGTAGTAAATCTGACATTAAAGGTCGAGAAGAGCTAAAAGAATGTTTCCCCCATGATGACATAGGCTGGGTTAAAATATCATAGTGTTATCTCGTCTGAGGAGAAGACTTACGCAACACAGGCAGGGACCGTAATTAAGTTAATCCGTAAGCTAAGTCTGAATAGGGTTGCGAGTTATCTATCGTATGTGCATCTAGCAGGAGTAAATAGCTTTTCCAGTATGTCATGATATACCAGAACAAATTCAACGAGGCTGTTGAGTGGCTACCGCTGGGCATTTGGTCATTGTAGGGTCGGGCCGGACGGCTACAAGCGAAGGATAAAATTTTATGGCTATCGGAATAGGCTGAGAGAATGGGTGGTTAGAATTCTCGAGAGATCTTTCTCAACCGCAGATCATACAGGTATACCTGGCTTGGCGGCGATACCCAAGCTCGGCTGGGCCCTGGTGGACCAATCAACATGACTTTTTGGGGACGTTCAAAACAGGGATGAAGCCTACGTTTATGGTAAGGAGTCCGCACTGGACCGATGACGCGTGGACATAAATAAAGCTTAAATGATTCACAGTAACACGTTAGTCACAGCTCGGCATGATATCTGATCCAGAAAATACTTCTCAACGGTCACGGTGCCATATATCGCCTTTTCACTCTTTGGAACTTTCGGTTAGCCAGATATGTTGGCAATGGCTCGACCAACGGTACACAAACAAAAAATGAACTTCACTCAAGTACACTATTGAGTCCCTACGCTAGAGAGCTGACTATTATTTGTTTTCCACCATCAGCAAAAGACTGATCCATGAAATCAGAAAATAAAAATCAACCTCTTAAGTTTCACTCGGTCGATCACACAGGATAGATCGGTTGATGCATCGGTCCACGTCCCAGGCAAGTTTACAATGTGTAGAATTGTTCTAACTACCCGTCGATAGTTAGCTGTGAAGAGAACGGCAAAAGCATATTTGGGAAACTTCAAGCTCTAAACCTCTGCATAACGGATAACCGCTGCCGATGAATAACTATATCGTGCAAGCATGCTTGTTTCAAATTCGGATTTTCCAAACTATAATTTGGAGCATGGATAAAATAAGCTTCGTTAGGAATATCATATGTTTACTTTCGGAACTGGTACAAGTTGGCTCACGATCCAATTATTCAAATTACTCCACCACGTCAAATCTTCACTCCAAAAGAGCCCGATTCATACCTATTCCTCATCAAGACTACAGGTACGACCTAGTACATCCTTATTCCAATGATCACACCTCTTGTCAACTTTCTTTGGCCTCAGCCGGTCACCAAATACACGCCCACTCCGAATTTCCCGACGGAGGACACAAAACATGGCGCACGTATCTGGGAGACAGTTCTTTGGGATGGGCGTGAGAAGATACAGGATAAGTTCACAAGATGATGCGACGGATGGATACAACTTCGGCGAGAGTGGAATTTTGAAATTTTGCAAGGAGTCTTTATAAATTGAGCTTTGTGCGTGCGCCAAGAGTTCGGTTGTGAGAGTGCAGGTGACACTATAAATACTGCCACGGTTAGGTGGTGCATTGGTATATCGTCTTGGCCCGCCTCCCAAGTAGAATCTGGATAGTTTGGACACATATTCCACTCGAGACAGTAGATCGCTGCTTCAAATCCGGCTAAACACAACCACATTTCTCGCGGCGCTGGTGTGCATGGATGACGAAGGCATGCTTGGATAACCAAAGGTTTTGAAATTCCCTTTGGTGGGTACTTACGGAGGAGGGCCGACTGTTTATGTAAGCAAGCATACCTCATTGTGATATTTGCGAATGAAATCCAGAGAATGAGTGTCTTTAAAGTTACGGCCTCGCCTCAACCTGGCCCTAGGTACAATAGCGTGAGTACATGTGGTACGTGCACGTTAGCATATAGTCCCTGTCCGCCTCTAGATACTCTTTCCTCATAGCCAATCTACTTCTTTCATCTTTACATTAGAGCTGCCTTCCTGCCAATTCCTCTTCTCGTGATATCTAATGTCATATATATATTTTTATTATTATTATTAAATGTCATGCTAGCTCACAACACATCCTCAATTTTTTGAATTTCGAAATTTCGAAACTTCACCTTTTCACCGTCTCCCTCCCTCTCGCGCTCGTCGCATTCCTTCAATAAATTGTAATCGAGTCGCTGTCATTTTCACCATGCCACCCGTCCGAAAATAGCGTCCCAACGCCAAGTTGGACAATACGAGAGTCTACCCGAGGGCTGAACAAGTACCTGGCCTTGCCCAGTCTCTGAAATGCGCGGAGATGAGCAAGATCTCAATCAAAGGGAAGGAAAAAGCCTTCCCCGCCGTCGCTGAACCCGATACTGACATGATCAGGTCAGTTGAAATTTTTGAAGAATTTCCTCAACGAGCCTCCGTCCCCCACGGGATTGGAGAATCGTCCACACCTCCTCTGGCCACCTCAAAACCGTCGGAAAACGCTGCACCCATAGCAGCGTCAACATCAACGTCGCAGCCAAAAGCTGCCATGAAAGCAGAGTGTCCCCTCGAGCTCCGACCAATAGTCCAAGCTAAACAACGAGGCGCCGCCGAAATAGCGGCAAATCTGGCCCTCTGCTCCGCCGCCATCTCTGGCGTCGAAGCCACCCTCCTTCCTTTGACCAACGGGTCAAATAGATAATTCGTAGACTCCATGAGAGTCTACCT